TATCCTGGCGATGGTCTAGCTCCGGCTGCTACAGCGCGCGGACTTGCTACCAAGCCATGTTCTCTGGATCCATCGAGGACCCCCACTGGCGCATCACTTGGCGATCATGGGCGCCGTTACGCATCAAATTCTTCATCTGGCTGGCCCTGCTCGGGCGGTGCTGGACAGCCGACCGCCTCGCGTGCCATGATCTACCCCACGAGCCCGCTTGTCGTCTCTGCGATCAGGAGCCAGAGACGATGCAGCACCTTCTCGCGGGCTGCTCCTTCTCCCGCCAGATATGGCATGAGGTGCTCTCCTGGTGTCGCTCCACCGCCTCCATCCCAGCCCAAGACGGCGAGTTCATCACCTGGTTGACCTCGGCCCTTGCTGCCACTCCTCGCAGCCTTCGACGCGGGCTCGCCTCCATCGCCATCCTCACGGCATGGTGGCTATGGAAGCACCGCAATGGATGTGTCTTCAACGGCGACCACCCCTTTGTGAACCGCGCCTTCAACGACATTCGTGAGGAAGCGAGACTCTGGGCACGCGCGGGCGCCTCAGGATTGGCGCTAATCCTGCCAGAGACGTAGCCTAGGTCCGTAGTGGTAGGCGCTAATCCTGCCACAGTGGGAGTAACTTCAGCAGTAACTTCAAGTCCAACTCAGCAAATTTGTCTACGTGGCAATGAGTTAATGAAGAGAGAGGTAGTTCTAGTAACTTAGCTAGTTACTGTAACATCACATGTCCCAATGCAGTATGAGTTTAGAATCTAATAAATGGAGTTTTGCATGACACCACACCTATGTTACTACCCACTATGAAGGTAGTAATATAGTCTAGGAATATGTGTATGTTACTAGTGTATGTTACTCTCCATTGTGGCTAGTTAGAGCATCAAGAACCTCGGACATCAAATCCGGGCACTCAAACGCCCGCGGGCGGGCCACGCCCGTGGACAATGGCCGGTCACATCTTAAATTTACTCATCTGCATCCAGATATCTCATATTTGAAATATTAAATTCATAAAAAACATGCAAATGAGGAAATCTACGTAGATCAACCTATACTACCCTAATCCTCGTCGGAGATGTCCACTATCTTGGTGCCCGGCTTCAGGTACATGGGCGGCAGCCGCAACTCCGGCTGCACCGCCTCGTCATCTAACTCCACTTCCATGTCAAGTTCGCCGAAAAGCGCGTCGGTCGATGCCCGTTCCTACCAGATGAACTGTCGATTGGCCTCGATATAGGGCTCGTCCAGAATGGACTCCAGGATGGCCTGCTGCTCCACCATCTTCGCTGTTTGGGCAACCGCGAATTCCACCATGGCCTCCTCCATGCTGAACCCTGCAGCCGGCGCCAGCTCATTCTCCGGCTGCTCTGCCTTGTCCTCCTCCGGATCTGCCACTTCCGTCAAAACTGAATGCTGCTCCGACTCTGGCGAGTCCGGAGGCAAGCCAGGTGCGATGAGGCAACGCGCCTCATCCAAATCTCTTCCTCGATCTGGAAGCGGCACTCCAGCGTTAGCATAGGGTAGGTGGTTTTCTTATGTCGGGCCATGTCAGATGGCGAGGAAAAGAGGAAGGTAGAGACGGAGAGAAATGTGCCCGGGCTGACAGTGCGAAAAGGAAGAGGTCGTGGATGGGGTTCGGGACGTCGGCCAGCTTAAATAGCCAGACTTTGGCCTCGGGCGGCAAGCCGGGGCAACGCCACGCGGCATTCGCAACCCCACCGGAGGAGACGCCCATCGGACACTATTGGGTCTCCAGACAATTCCGTGTAAGATCCCATCATCAGTCCGACGTGGTAGATGCGCCCAGACCTCCTTATGTTCGCCCCATATTTGGGTTAAATATGAGGGATACCGGTTAGCCCTGATTGGTCTGCAAACCCTAAAAAAATCATATTGGTCTACATATGTTGGTACAAGATCGTAAAATGGAACATGCAGGCCATCTTTTAATTGATCCCGAATCTATTTATTTTGAGGGGAGATCCCGAATTCTTAGTCGTGTGCATTCACGATTTGGACGAACTGAGTAGCCGCACACACACACACGCATGCATGCATTTCTGTGCTTCAACTTTTGTCTTTTTTTTTAGCATCAGTACAGACACAAGCGCTCATATACACGCGCATACACTCATTCCTATGAACGCACACACGCACACCCTATCCATATGACCACCTCCGAGAGACTGAACCGGCATATCATTTTGAGATTTACGAAGTCACCGTAAGCGCCTCGTCGTCGACGGGAACGTTTCCTCCCACTGAAAGCGCATCGCCGGAAATCCTGAAATAAATCCAGGAATAATGCGAGCACCAGGATTTGAATCCTGGTGGGTTGGGGATACCACTGTCCACCTAACCAACTCAACCACAGGTTGATTCGCGCTTCAACCTTTGTCTTTGTTTGTGTGATGTGGACGCATGTGTATGTGCATTTATTTAGGTTTTCAAATTTTTAAAAGGACATCTTTCAGGTCAAGCGCCGGAGTTCAGATCCGTTTTCACTGTTGGAATTGTCGCAATCAAAATTTTAAAACTAGATCCCGCATGGATATGATTCGATAAAAAAAATTGATGCCAATTTTGATGCTATATAATGCAACTCTATTAAACATGGTGCAACTTTCAAAACCAATTTTGAAACCCATGCAACTTCCTACGAGGTTGCAACCTAGCAACCTTTACAACCAACTTTTTATGATGTGCAACTAGTCCGCCACCGCAGTCAACTACCAAGCAAAAGCCCGTGATTTGCAACGGGAGTATAGAAAAATATATATAATGCCGCAATATGGTTTTGTATGAAATGACAGGTGCGAAAAAATGTGCAAGACTAAGCTTCAGAGGCTCGCTGCTCTAAACTTATAAGGATGATGCTAACAAAATAATAAAAAAACGACACACAACTTTTACTTAGGAACGACATTTTGATGACCTCGTCAAGGTAATGCCAAAGTTGGCAACATTTGATTCACGTGCACATATGCTACAGATTTGGTCTGTGGCCAACGAAACAATCAAATGGAAGACAATCTCTAGATTGTTGACGGTATCTAGATTAGCATATTGGTGTGAGTAATTGGAAAAAAAATTACCGAGCTCTACATAGGCTTGGGGCGGTCGGTATATATTGAATGACGAGATTCGTCATTCATATGATTTGCAATTTTCTTTCGTTGAATGGATTCTAATCATTACAGGTGCTTCGTATGGAGCAAATGTCACTTGCCATGAATAGTAGTTTGCCCGATCGAGAAACTGGATTGTAGGACATGGGACACTGAGACTTGGAATCAATATACCATCACATAATTGTGCAGTCACATAACAACAACATAATCCTCGCATCAGCATGACTTTTTTTTGCGGGAGAAAAGGAGATTCTCATTATTCACGGAGGCTTCTCAGCCAGTGCCAAGTTTACAACAAAATCTAATCCCGAACGTAACCATACTGCAGTACGGGGAGTGCTACGGCCATACGTGGCAAGTTCGTGACTAACTTTATTCTGCGACCGACAACGGCGAGTAAAAGAAATCTCCCTATCCTCAGTTGAGGCCAGATTCTAAATCTCCTTAACCAACATGCGATGTATCAATCGATCCTCGGAGTGTGCTGTGATCAGTGACACCGCCTCCGCGCTATCAAGCTCGACCAAAATGGGTAGCATCGTACGATGGAGGGCCAGCTCCAGCCCCTCCCGACACGCCACTAGCTCAGCGTCCAACGCGTTATCACATATACGGATTTCCCAACAAGCGCTATAGATGATATCACCATGTGCATCCCGTAGGATCATACCACCTCCTGCCATACCTGTGGACGGAATGAAGCTTCCACAGCAGCATGACTTGGAACCAAAAATATCTCATAGGTATTCGGCATTCGCAAGTCCCAGGAAAGACATGTGTACATTTAAGCATGCTGAACTATTTATACAACATAGAGAAAAGCATCACTTGATGTTCTACATCGATTGTTGGAAGAGAGTACATGACAGGAGCATAAATTCCAACCACAAGACAGCAGTAGCGCCGGACACAAAAGCAATTGAAGAGACTCTCAAACAAACGATTTAGAAGGACCCTGCAAACGTCCCATTCTCCCTCTGCTTGTTCCACTTATCAACCTGATTCGGTGAGACCAAAAAAAAGTTGATGATACTGAAGAAAACAAGGTAATGTTGCTACTGTTAACAGTAGAAGTTCCATGAACTTGCTTGCTTTTGAATCAAAGAGAGGTGATAGATATGGTGAATATATGTGTCCGGCTGAGAACAAAAAGAATGACTCGAACAAGCATAGTGAATATATGCGTCTCAGAAAACAAGGTTCAACATTGTTGTAGCTGTATAATAAATGAAGCCATTGCCAGTTTCCCAAATGGAAGCAATATAAAGATTTTGATGCGCCTTTTATTTTTTATTTTTGAGATTTACAAACTACATTCATTTCATTAGGTCAATTCATTGGCAAGGGAAGTAACATGTTTACGCTTGTTGAATCCTAATTATTCTACATTGTACTTGTACCAATTCAATAAACATACAACTAGAATCTAGAAAGCAATAAAATCATCATATCATTTCACGAAGAAACTTCCAGACCAAACAATTTTTTCGTGGAAGAGAAAAACTCATGACAAAGTCTAATGAGCAAACAATTTCTCACCACGGTTCTAAAATATAAAAGACAAACTCAAATGAATTAGCATTGAACCTAAAAAGGTTCCAGGTCAGTACTATTGTGAAATGATCCTGAAAAAATGGTTGACAAGAAACAAAACTGTCCATTGCTCCAATGGCTGAGAAGAAGCTATAGCTTAAATAATGGTTGACAAGAAACAACAGTTCAGCTAGAAAGGAATGGGCCATGGAAGAAACATGTATCATGCATTTTCTGAAAGATTGAATAAGGGTATAGTGTCCATCTTTCAAATTCTTAAGGACCTAGAGTCATAAGAGGATTACTGATCTGGAACAACAAACAATTTACTGACCTAGAGTCATACGTAGCTTACCTTAGATACGTTGAGGCAACTCAGCCATTTTGCTCCGAAGAAACACGGTAGCGTTCTCTTCATCTTCGGCGGCAGAATTGAGAAAAATCTCACTGTTCTCGGCACTTTTGAAGACTTTGTAGGCAGCGGCTCTTTCATCGCGTTGGATGCTTTCTCGCTTGTGCAAAACAACAATGCACTTGCTGATGGAGAACTCTTGGGCATTTGTTGACCCTGCCAACAGAGCAGACTCCTTCGCTTGCTTCCGTTTGATCTCCACATATCGTGCCATCACTTCCACCATTGGTTGTGTTGAACTTCTAGCAGGGTAGTCCTGAGCTCGGAGCACAAAGCATCGAAAGATGAACAAGAGTCATATGGAGATATGATCGACAAGTTTGCCTACCGATTGAAGTTCACATCATCAGTGATGTCCACGTCAATTGCTATGTTCACATCATCAGTGATGTCCACACCCTGGGAAATTATGTCTTCAAAATGGGCCTTGACAGGACTCAATTGACTGAGAAAACGACTAATAACAAGTCAAATTTGCACCAACTATTGGATGAGCATCGAAGGGCCTTCTTCTTCTTCCTCATGTTTCTCTTCTTCCTTTGTCCACCGTCGAAGCCAGCCCAAGCCGAACTGAACGCCTCCGTCGCCCACGGTGCTCCCGCTGCAGCCTTACCGCCCCAGCCTTCCCTCACTGCCACCCACCGCTGTGCTAACCCCACCCCTGTGCATCTCTCTAAACCCGTGCACCACCAGATTTCCCCAGCAAACCTGCACACACACACACCCCACCTCCCTTGGCGCAAACCCTGAAACGTCTGCTGACACGCCAGCGTCTACCACTCATTCCTGGATGAGGCCTTGTCGCCTGTTTTCTTCTCTCACACATTGACCGACACAAATTTAAAAATAAGGCAACTTACATCTAGCTAAACTGCTTCAAGTTTTGCTCTTTAAAAAAAATTGCACAGGATCCTAACTCAGTGGCACCTCGTTGCCGGCCCTTGCCTCCACAGGGTAGCAACAGCCGCAGCCAATACAATATGCTGCACTACCCATTCTGCATGCTAAGTGTCATCGTCCTGACATCAAACGGTGTACACCCTGTATAGCTGGGTGCCAAACTGCCGACGCACCGCTGAGCCGTGGGTTCGTCGGGTACGTGAATGGATCGTCCTGACGGTGAATCATGACTACGTTCCACGGGCCGAATTCTAGTCTCAAAGCTGCTTACCAAAGTACTCTCCGAATACATCCAGAGCACACAGAATCACAATGCTCCGACCAGGGCGCATTGTTTGGAGTACATAACCACAACCGTGTGTAATGGTTCACCACCAGATTTTGTACAGGAAAAACAACGCAGGGTATTCAACACCCCTTTGTTCGCAGCGCAACCTTTCAGCCAAAAAAGGGCACGGTAATGGGAGGTTTGGTTGGATCATCGCCTCGGAACTGGCACTTGACTCACCTATTTCCTAACATATACAAAAAAAATTGCAGCTCTCATTCGCTGCGCACCGAGTTGTACTTGTCGGCAAGTGAAGGGGTGGCCGTTATCTTGTTCATCAGATTCTTGAACTTCATGCTGTAGTCGCTGCCACTGCAGATCAAAGCCGAGACCAAACAAACTGGTTAGGTCATGCCTACTAAAGCAATGTTATTTTGACGAGCATAAAAGGAGGCTACGGCCACCAGTGGATTGGCTATACTGCAGTCTGCTTTAGTAACTATGAACAAGTAACAAAAAGGATGGCAGAGAGTTCAAAGCCTGATCTAAACCAGAATCAGCCGTCAGCTAGTAGGGCAGAATCAAGCCTTACCTGATGCGGCTTAGAGCAGCAATTGCTCGAAGAGCACTGCGGATCATGTCTTCGTTGCGATCAATCTCCTGCTTCACTGCATCACCCTTGGGTCTGTGGACGATTGTTTTCTCAAGAGGTTCAACTAATGAGTCCAAAACTGAAACAGTATCATAATAGTAAATGTTAGAAAAGGCAGTCACAACATATGAAACATCACTTTGAAGATCCTTTATTTATAGCAAACCTGCAAGAACAGCAGAAGGACACTTGTCTGCTAGCTTTGAGAGAATTAGATGGCAGGGCATTTTTACGTCATAATGATCTGCAATAAGCAGGACAGTACGAACAACTGGTTAGCATGTTCTACACAAAATACACATTCAACAAGATTATGATAATATAGGTGATATACCATCTTAGGATTCAGAAAGGAACAAAAAGAGAAACACGTAATAACAGATAATGTGGACAATTTATCCTGAAGAAAAACTGAAAGCCATGCTATAGATATAAAGTATCTTGTCAAAACAATAAAGGTACGTTCAGTATCACCGGTTCTATGCAGTCCAGGCCTATATCGCTACACAGATATTGAGACGAAGACTATGTTTGGCTGATGCCCCATACAGCCCTGTCAAACATGGGCAAAAATTGGCTTGCCATTTTTCTGGCCAAGGAAACCTGGCCAATTATTTGGCAAGAATCTTTGAGAGGAATGGGTGAGGGCACTAAGGGCTGTTTGGATTGCTTCCCTCGGCTACCCGTCCAAAATATTGGTCATTGACCACGCTTGTGAGGCCATTTGGATGAGCGCCAATGTTTTGGTGCGCCCAGCCCACCTTAATTCTTCTAGTCTACATCTAAGCCAAATTGTTGTCGAGGCTCCGCGGCGAAATCGCCTGCCAATTATTTGGCGTGCCCTCAATTGGCAAGGATGGCTCTGGCAAAAACCAAACAGCCCCTCATAGCCAAAAAAATTGGCACCAAACCAAGCGAGAGGAAAAATATTAAGGTCTACCAATTTCTTGGCAGGCCTAATCCAGGCACCAACCAAACACACTAAAAATACCATGATGAAATATATAATGTCTTAAACTGTACTTACCACCTAAGCCAGATAAGAGGAAAGGAACGATGAAGGACGATGGATTCAATTGATCAAGACAACTATCCAGCAATGTGTCCACACATTCAAAGGCAGCTTTCCTAAGTTCAAGCCCATCATCAACGACGTGCTTGAAAGGCCCTAGATCAACTGTCCTGATCAATTCTTGCTGCAAAGAAGGAAACCGTTACTTCCTAGCTGTAAATTATATGTAACGTCCCCAGAGGCCAGACCATAAGTACTGATAAGAAATCAGCAAAAAAATAGGAAATGATACCTTCACAACAGTCTGGTCATACAAAAGAGGCAGTAATTCAGGAAGAAGACCTTTGATCAAATTTGGCTTGTTGTGGGCAGCAGTACTCAACGCCAGGACGGCTGCACGTCTCACATGCTGCAAAGTGCAAGCAACAAATGCAATTGTCATCTCCACATAATTATTTGCAAACATTAGTTTTAAGGATGTAAATACTATTTCAAGTAAAATTACCCTGTCACTGTCTTTAATTAGCATAAGGAAAGTAGAAATCTCAGAGTACATGATTGCATCTATCTTTCCAGGCCGTTCAACGATTGAATATTTTATAGCAATGGCAACTGTAGCCCTTGTGTTTGCTGCTGGGCTACATGTACGTTCCTACAAAATTATATGAAATGTCACATTAGATCTCATATCATAAAGTAAATGAAACATTGGGATGTAACTTTGCTGATGTCCACACTCCGCACCTTCAGAGCAGGGATTAATTTGTTAGGTTCAATCAGTGCAATTTTCCCTAAACACTCAGCAACCACATTCCGAACTCCTTCCTCCTCACTTTCGCAGTGATTAAAGAGCAACGCCAATATCTTCACAATGTTTGAGTCCTGCAGCTCACTCTGGCCAGTATGATCAACAGACTGCCGTGCAATTACCTGATAGATATTGCATAAGAGCACAAATTAAACAGCAGGCTTATGGGAGGTACTTTTTACAAAAATAATTCCATTATAAACCTACCTCTTTCAGTGAATGAAGCAAAAGATACTGCTTCTTCTGTTGATTGTCAATCTGATCCAAGATAAATGGCAAATACTTGGATAGATTGCCAACAGCAATGTTTCCAAGAGCATACGATGCTGCAGACTTTATCTCCTCAAAAGGTGACTGGAATGACTCAATGACAATGTTCTCAATTTGAACATGATTGCTGAGGTCCTTCCTTCTTCCAATTTCTCCCAAACATAACAAGGCCATGTGTTGTTTAGCCTGGAAAACACATTAGAATTAGAAGCAATTAAAAATGACCAAGAGAAGGGTAATAATATATCTTCGAGTCAAACATAAGTATGCAGTCAACCAATAGCAAATAATATTGATTTGCAGATGCCTACATGACAAAGCACTAACCCTACCATCAAGACATTACAATTTGCCTAATTACAGCTCAAAGTTTTAAGATGATTAGACTAGGGCACAAAGAGTAGCACACACGTAAACTATTAGAACAGTGGACCACATATGAAACAAACAGAGAACTTGTAGTATCCCAATTTCACAATGCTACAAGATAGACGATGTCCATGAATGATGTGTTTTAGCTAACGTAAATGAATAAAGGCATGTTATGTCAAAGATCACAAGTATGACATGATATAAATGCGCAAATATGGTGAACAGAAGGCATGCATGGTCAGGAAAAGCCTTACAGAATTAGTTGAACTGTCATCATTTAGAATGCCTTTAAGCATTTCAACAGTTGATGCACATTTCTGATCACCAGCTGCTAAGCATAGCACAGCAACACACTGTGCAATAGAGGATAGTGCCTGCTTGGAAAGACTGCCTGACTGCGATGGCTTGGCAGTTGAAATAAGGGAGTCCAACAAAGTTTCAAAGCTTGTATTTGCAGACTGGACCAGTGAAGCAAAAAACTTCTGTAGTGCCTGCAATAGAAACGATGTCATCTGTCGGTAGGAAAATAAGAAGAAATCTGGTATTTATATTTAGATATGAAAATATATACCTGTAGTGCTTGTCCTTGCAACAGAGCACTCCTGATCAAAACAAGGGCCTGGGGCAAAACCTTATGTCTCACAGCTAAACCAACATTTTTAATGGATCTTCTGTCAACCATTATTGTGCAACACAGTTCCAATGCAAGAGCAGCCATATGCAAATCAATGTCACTGCCACAATAAATAATCCAACATCAGTCTTCCTGGTAGGCGGAAAATGGAGATTTGTTGAAGAAAGCTAAGCGAGGATAAAACCTTATGAGAGTAGAAAGTTCAGCTATTATCGTTTCATAAGAGGACGAGCCAATTTGACCACCATATGTGACAACCAAAGAATTTAGGGTCCCCAATGTTGCCTGCCTGAGGGCTCTGTTGGCCTGTTGAAAGGGGGCAGCAAAAGAAATTAGTCTTCAATCCTGATGCTCTGTTAAACATACATGTTTTTTCAAGTTTCAAAATCAAAACAAACAATGTGTATAATGCATATTTACCTTTCGAAGGAAAGCTGTGAGCTCAGAAACAACATGGTCCAGGACACATGACAGATCAATCCGAAGAGGTGAATTTGCAATCACCGCAAATGCCTGTAAAGGAATGAAAATTTTGAAAATGCAACAGAACCAAGAAAAGGAGTGAATCTGCGTACAATCAACTAGTACAGGAAAACAGAGAATAAACAAAACTGTCTGAAAACACCACCAGTGGGCATTAAGCAAATGATGACAGAGTGTACAACTACAACTGTAGACAAGACCCACACAAATAGATTGGTATACTATGGATAATGTACTAAAGCTATCTTTAAATCAATGAACCCACCACAAAAGCATCTCTATCCCAAGCAACTCAGCAAGATGCACTGATCAAAACATTTACATTTGTTTTTCTACCATTGACTAGAACACTGAAAGTTCAACTCAACATTTACCATCATGTCGCTATTAGTTTTGGTTCTGAAGGTGTGGTTGACTGCTTACCTTGACAGCTGTAAGTCGTGTTATTTCATTGCCCATCCTATCAACAAGTATGGGAAGGCATGACGGTAATTCACTCTGAAGACCATCACCAAAAGTAGCGATCACAAGGCTCATGCAAGATATGGCACACTCTTTAACTTCCTGGCAAAACAGAATCACATGAGAGAGAGAGAGAGAGAGAGAGAGGTAAGTAGAGAGTGATCTAAACCTGATCTTGATCTTGATTCACCAAGCGGCCCAATATAGCTTTATAGATTGGACTAATATATGGCCTGAAATCTATGGAACGTGCCTGTGTAACAGCAGAATGAGAATTTAAAATACCACCATACTGGGTGCTTATAACATCAGCACATGGAGTATAAGGCTGACCTCAAAGTTTGGACGGAGGACTCGGACGAGCTCCCCACACACCCGTAAAGCCTCAGCTGTGACTTTGTAATATCTATCTCCCATAGCAGATAATATTGGACCAGAAAGTGCCTGGAAATTTTATTTTGCATTCAGTAATGAGTAACAACACAAGAGTGGTTAAAATCAAAGATAGTAGCTATAATACCTGGATGTATGGATGAAACACAGAGGGCGAATGTGAGGCCATAACAATCCTAGTAAACGCAAGGGCTTCAATCTTCAGGTTGGAGGTAGAAGATTTGTCCTATACAACAAAATAGACAATGAGTTAAAACAAACATAAATCCTACACAAGAAGCTACACAGAAAATAAAACCCACTAACATTCAAAGCCTTCTCAATCCCAGGAACAAGTGACCCAAAATGATCAGCAAGGCAATCTGGTAATACAACAACAAGCTCCTTCAATACTGAGAATGCTCCAACCTGGAAATGCCAACAAAAAAAAATATTAAATCATGATGGTGAGCCATAGAGACGCTTTGCAAGACAGTTAAAGAACAAACCTTTGTCTTGATTGATTTTTCACGCAACTGCCTATTGATAGACTTGACAACTTTGGGTACTTCTTGCTTCAGCAACCATCTAGGGCTGCAAAGTAAAACGAATGACAATACAGGCTCAGTGCACAGAACTTGCAATCACGATAAACAAACACTTTCCCACAAAGCATAACAAGTCAACCAGATAATGATTTTTGTATCCAAATAAGAGCCATGCCATGTTTTAACCAACATAGGCTCAGTTAGGCTATTAATCCAACGAGAGAAACAGCTGCACATCTAGTACTTACCATAAATTCTATAAGAATCTGGTAAAAATGGGTAAAAAGGTAATAAAACAAATACTTTTTTTACCTAGACTCATCAATGTCGCCTTGTCCTTTTGTCACATTGCCAGTTTGGCGTAACAACTCAATAAATGTGTTGAAGATGTCCATCTAGGATCGAAGACAAGCTTCGTAAGATTGACATACAATGACAATTCAAATCTAATTTAGCAATGCAATGCCATGCGGTTACCTTTACATTCTCCTCTCTTTCCCTAAAGCGGTCAATTAACTTTGGACAAGCCTGCAACAACCAAATAAATTACACCAAGTTCCATAGAGCCAGGCACTTCATTGAGTAGTTAATTTTCAAAACAGGTAATAAATGGTTGGAATCGGCTCAAAAACAACACTGGCAATTATGGACAAAATGGAATCATGCTGTCAAGAAGAACGAGATTGTTAAAGCACAGTATGGTGGTTTTACTTGCTGCCATCAACATACCTCCTGATACATCTTAGACAACATTTGAGGACGAGATACTATAATTGCAGACAGGCACTTCGCTGATGCCCGGCGAACCTTCCAGCTTGCATCCTCGTCATCTGTGTATTCATTCGCACTCTCACTGGGAGAAAATGTTAAAAGATGGTTCAATTAGCTTAATAGGAAACACAATTTCAGTATTATAAGAATATAAGTAACATACTCATCATCTTCCTCATCCTGTACTTCATCATCAGTATCCTCCTCCATGCTATCGGTGTAATTAGGATCATAGCTTACATATTCCAAAGCAAGATTCAAAATACCATCACAATATGGGGAAATATCTCTTGGACATCTGAGCATAAAGCTCTCAAGGGCCTACAAGATGGGAGGTAATTTATAGCCACAGAGAAAGCAATGGTAAGAGTAATCAAAAGTATGAACTTTAACATAATTTTCACCTGCAAGCTGTATTCACGGAGCTCTTCATCATTTTCTGATGCACTTGTACAATAACTAATGAGCAAAGGAACAGCTTCGGCAAGGTGTGGTCCAAACCGGTATCCAACTGACCGACTGTAGGTCAAAATAAATTAAACTATGAGTTTGCAGTGATCAAATGAATTTAGCCTACCAAATCTCTTGTACTTCCCTCCATCCAAAAATAATTTATCCCTGGGTATTATATCATCCAGCCAGATTTTTTTTCTAGATATGTTATCAATGTTTGAACTAGCCAGTTTTGAATTTAGATAGTTCCTACAAGCTGTTATGAACAAATTTTTGCAGCAGTTGGAAGGTCAAAGCATATACCTGAGAGCACCAATCATCTGGATATTTGTTCGGGTTATTTCAGATTTTGCCCTTTTATTTTTCAGCAATTGGACAACCTCCGACGTTGCCTTGGCTAATAGATCATCCGACAAACATGGAGCAGGCGATGCTGCAACATAAAACGACACATTAGTCACTGTAAATTAACTAAGATTGTTCAATCATTTGCAAGCATTAACAATCAAAATAATTGCAATATTCATTCAGGCGTACCTATGCACGTAACTGACTTTTTTCTGACACTTGCTTGAGTGGAGCTCAGCTGGGTTAAAAGTGCAGTGAGCATAAACGCATGATCTTTTGTGATCACGTTGCCGAATCTATGAAGCACGTCACCTAATATGTCAAGACATTCACATTTAATTTCAGCACTCTTTCCCTGTCAACAAAAGAAGAAATGTATCAAGACAATTGCATTTAATTTTAAAAACAAACTGATGAGCCATGAAACAAGTAAAAACAAGTCCCAAACAAGTTGGGGTAGGCTTTATGTTACAAACCCTTGAGACCTAGAAATGTATTTACAAGTTTCATTTTCATAACCATATGGCAGTCTGTCGTACAATTATACTTCCAGATAAAGGAACAAGAGGCAACATATAAAGGTAAGAAGAAATGAATGTAAACCAAATGCTACCAAACAGCCCTAATTAAAGGATATATTAAACATTCACAAATAAATTCTGCAAACTGTGTACGTAATTTATTGCTAATTTTCCAGCTAATACTTAACTTAATATTGCATTACCTTTTCTGTGGAACATCTAAATAATAAAACTTAAGGGGCCTACAGATAACCCAAGGGAAATTCTGGCAAACACGAAACAGACTAAAAAACTTACACTGGTGACACCACTGATTAGCTGCGGGGAAAGAGAAACTAAAATCTTTTCAGAAAGTGATGCCGTAGTAACTTCCACAATGATTGTCTTCAGAGCTATACTGGCAATATCACGATGCTGCTCCTTTCCATTGAGTAATTTATCACAAAGCTTGTCAGTCATCTCCACTACTCTATCCTTGCTTACCTTCTTAACAAGTGGAGCCAAGCTAACCAACAAAAGAATAAGAGTAAATGTAGTGAACGGATGTAGGGGAAACAATCGGTAATCAAATTTCTCTGAAAAAAGTAACCCCGCAGATCCAATAATTGATGCATAAGAAAACAGAACAAACTTTAAAAATGAATAAGCAATCTTGAAGACAAAAGGAGGTATGATGCCATCTTAAAAGATAAAATAGCAGGCTAAACACATCTGACAGGTACAACAACATAGCGAGTAGCATAATCAGAATATTCCCAAATTCTAGCAGGACAGAGGGGATAATCAACAATAACAAGATCTTAACATGCAAAATCCTTACTTCCCCAATCCCACACCATGCAAGCATGGTAAGACATCAAGAACACAAACAATGGATTAAATAAGAAAGTATTTTAAAGGAAAGGTACCATTTCACAGCTAAACCAGAAACATCTCCTGAAGCATCTTCCAGTTGTTGAAGAACAATATTAGTCAACTTTGATTCAAGGTCTTGGTCTGCTTTGAAACTCTCTTTGTTCAACTCACTAAGCAGATCTGAGGTGGCCATATATCTGTAGTCTTTATCTTTCCCTGTCATCTGAAAGCACATACAAGGAACAAAAATGTTACCGAGCAAAAACTGAGGATTCCTTATCAACAAATGTAAATTGGTGCAATAGATACCTTCTCCAAGATGCCGGTTATGTTCATATTCGCCATTGCACCAAACCTGTGTTCAAGTCCTCTTCACGAAGATATTTGGTAGTCTAAGAAGCAAATTAAGCAATGAGAAATGTTCAACAGCCTAATAGCATATGTGTTGCTAAGTGCATAGATTTAAAAACTGTGCCAAACCAAACAGAATCGGTGGTGGATGCATTCTGGTGGGAGTAGGACAAGTACGCTAGATGGAGAAAAAACAAGCAGAAAAATATTTAAACAATCTAATGTGGAGATCGAACACCTGACGGCTTGCTTCACACCTATGTGCCTACCACATGCGCTACGTGTATGTTGTGTTATTAATGAAAATATATTAATTACTTATTCGCACTACTGTGGATAGAAGTCAAAATGTCTGCAAAATAGGCAAAGAGGGGATTCAAAACAAATGACATTTGTAGTTGCGTGCAGCCAAACTACAAATGTCATTCATAAGTACGATTTGATGTTCAGCTGGTGTAATGCATACAAGTAACAGATAAAAGTGGTAGGAGACCCTAAACCATGGCAAAATTGATTTCATTTTCCTATTGAGAAGAATGTTTTTAACTCCAGAGCCATGCTTGACAGAAAAGAAAGCATTCTACATCATGTTACTGTTTTCACCCGAAACAACTAACTAAACTAATTTGTAAACAAGATTAAAAAAAGGCATAAATCTATACTTCGAGCAATTTAATACTTTGAACAGGACAAATAAGAACGGCATTAACACTTGTTCATTTATATATACTTCTAACACCAGCAACAAGCCAAAATTAGCAAAATATGAACTCCCATGTGCAATTACAGACATCGCATACACCATATGCACATACTCCGTGCTAAACATGAGCACACAACACTGGCGTGATTAATATAGTACTCACACCTAAAGTTAGTACAAAGTCGAGTCACTTATTTTGGGACGGAGGAAGTAACAGATGAAACTTCAAACCAAAATCGCTCACACCAAGTGGTTTCCCCAACTCGATACATGACAAACAACCATAATAAAAGTTAAAGCCATTAGAGAGCAATGACGTGTCGCACAGGCCACGGTTCAGCATTAACCATGCCGATCCGTACCATCGGCCCCAACACCCAGACCACTTCAGCGTCGAACAGAGCAAAACACCAAGCCTAAGCTTAACCCAGTAATCCTGCGCCAAGCGCACCAGGAGACAGAACAGCAGCGGTTCAATTATGCACCTATTATATATAATTACATTCATATATAGGAACCAAGCCCGTTAAACACCATCATTTAAGATAAACATCACGTGAGTCTCTATAACAAACTAATAAAGAAAGGTATGGCCTCAGATTTAGTATCACATGATATATATAAACATCATTTGTGTCAGATTTAGCATGGTGTCAAATGTAGACATCATTTGCATCAATTTTAGCATGGCATCAATTAAATAGTCCAAGGTGTCACCAGATCACCCTTCCCCAGACCCTGCGCAAGCGGGAGCTACATGCACTGGGGCTGCCCTTTTTAAGGTGTCACCAGATCAACCCTATTAGCAGTTTCCAGATCATAATAACTTCAGAGTAAGAAAACCAAACCAAAAACAGTGCCCACGCAGGGGATTAGGATGTTGGGGAACGGGAGCTTGACCTCCACAGCCGGCAATGCTGTGCAGCTAACAGGGGAGGGGGTGGATAGGAGGAGGAGGAGGGGGAGGGCGACGGGAGAAGGATGGGGGGCAGGGCGGCAGAGCAGTCCCTGCTCTCCCGTGCGCAAGGGGAGGAGGCGCTGAACCTTCGCAGCGACGCTGAAGCGCGCCCGCGACGAGTCGGCGAGATCCACAGGGCGTCGAGCGTCGCACGAGAGAGAGCGAGGGGTGAGGGGAGCGGCGGAAGATGGGAGCGCGAAGCCGACAGGGAGGAGAACCCTACCTCTTCAGCGCAGGCACGGGAGCGCGGGCGGAGGACCCGGCCGATCTGCCGCCCGAGAGCTCCGATCGGAGCAAACCCTCGCCGGAAAAGGCTGGCGCTCGCCGGAGAGGTGGGGATTGGAAGCTGTAGCAGCAGCAGCAGGAGAAACCCTCGCTAAAGCCTGAAAGCCTTTTCCCTTTTATCCCGAGACGTGACTTCCCCCTACCAATTGCGGATGTGTAACGTAAAAAAAACAAAAGAAAGTGGGCCGAGCCTGGAAGTTTAGCTGCTTTCACCTTCACGGCCCAACAAGCACAACTGGAGAACAGCGGTGATATGTATCGCCTGACCGAGAGAGTGCTGGCTATCTCAGAGACGGGGGCCCTCGGATCTTCAAGATCTTTTTCGTCAACGTCTAACGATCATCATAATTTTGCAAGAATAAATTTTCTCTTGTTCTTTTGGCAGTGCCATTAGGTTAGAAAATTTTCTGTCCTCGTAGATCCAATTATTCGGATCTGATGAGTTTTATGTTGCCGTGTCAAGTTTTTTTGTTGGTCTGATTCTTTGTGGAGGTGAACCTTTGCATCGACACCATGGTGAATATATAGTGATTCGACGATCTGCACTTCTAGGGGATCATCCCGGCCCAAATACGTTCATCGATCAAGGCTTCCCATTATTTTTGGATGGGCGACTCAAGGCGCTTTCACAAATCATTATCGGAAATGTTCGTGTGGGTGAAAGAGTGATGAAATCGTTGCTCCAATCCAATTACAGCCTCTTTACCGAAGACTTTGGAGTATTTCTTCGAGCAGAGATTGATATCACGAAGAAGGTGTTTTCAAGAGATTTCATTGTAATTGTTAGTCATAGGAGTTATTTTCTAATTTTTTTATCTTAGGTCCAAATCAATGTACAGGTGTTTCTCAAAAAAATGTACCGGTTCGCTCACCCCTCAAAAAAACAATGCACCAGTTCGCTCACATGTAGTACAAGGCTACGTCAATTAATTCGGATCAAAAATAGTACTTTTTCTCACTTCAAAATAAGGGTTTTCTAGTTTCTATATATTTTTCCTTTTTTATATACTCCATATTCCAGAAATTTGTATATATATGTAAAGGTTTAAAAACATTTGTTAAATTTAAAATATTCACTAATTTGAAAATGTTTTAAGAATTTTTTAAAAATAAGAATTTGATAAATATTTCCGAATTCAAACACATTGATAAATTTTAAACAATTCACAAACGTGAGAAATGTCATGCATCCGGGAAATGTTTGTGAACTTAAAAAAAGTTGATGAACTTAAAATTTACCCAAATTTTAAAAATGTTCACGAGTTGAAAAAATGCTCATGCATGTGAAAAATGTTCATGGATTATAAAAAAATGTTCATAAATTTGTAAAAAAATGTGTTAGGAATTTGAGAAAAATTGTAAAAAAATTTAAAAAATATTCACAAACTTGAAAAGACGTCCATAGATTTGAAAAATACTACATGATAACTGGCGCATTGCTACAATAATATTGTTAAAAAGAAATGCATAAATAGGTGTTACATAAACAACTAAAACTAATAAAAGTGAAATGTAAGAGTATTTCTTGATATATGCTTTAAAAACATTAACAAAGTTCGTATAACAAAAGCATGTATAAAAGAGAGAGAGAAAATAGATTGCAACTAAAAGAATGTCATTTAAAAAAAATGGAAGATCAACTATATACGTATCCCCCAAACACCCAACACATATATCGTGTCCATGAGAGCACAAAACTTAACTAATAACTTTCATGCATGAACATGTGGTATGACATAGCAGTGCCACATGCACATACTAATGCAAGAAAATGTAACGTATAACTTACATGCCTGGCTTATTGATATGGCATAACTGTATGTATGAAAAATAGATAGTGTTTGTAACTATTTAGCAATAGAGAAAGAGAGTATCACTTCTAGAAAAGTGAAGGATCAACTTCATATGTATGCTCCTAGCGACCAATGCATATACCATGCATATGAGAGCATAAAACCTAATGCAAAAAAATAACTAGTGACATACATGCATAAACTAATGATGTGGTAGTGTTGCATGGATATGCTAATGCAAAAAAAAAAATAACTTGCATGCATGACATGATGTGTGACATGGTTGCATGCTAGAAAAATATGTAGTGGTTTGTGTCACAATTAAATACTCCCTCCGTAAAGCAAATATAAGAGCATTTAGATCACTAAAGTAGTGATCCAAACACTCTTATATTTCTTTGCAGAGGAACTACATTGTAATTAAAACTCACTTATAATCCACTAATGCATGTTGCATGGTAGAGAATTCTCATGCATAGGTTGGACAGATGGTAGTAGATCTCGATAGTAAATCTAACAGCCATAGCAATTTTGATGATGTGGAAGCATGCATGTTAAGATAATTAGAAATAGTAGGGATCATTCTGTTAGGTATATATGATTCATGATTTTACAAAATGTTCGCAAGTTTAAAAAATATCCGCGAATTTATAAAATGTTCATGGATTGAAAAAATGGGTGTGAATTTAAACAATGTACACAAAGTTTAAAATATTGCAATTTTTTAGAAATGAGCACGGATTAAAAACGAAAAGATAAGACAAAAAAAGCAAATAGAAAATAAAAACCTGCAAGAAAACAAGAAAATAGCGAAAACACAAGAAAATGTGAAGAACAATAGAAAACTAGTGGGAAAACAACAAAAATAAAAACCGGATGGAACCTTCTTCAAACCGTTCGACAGGGAACGCCTCTGAGCACTTAGGTGCCTAAATGGGCCATCCACCTTTGTATGCTAGCAAGTAGTGATCGCAAGGAATACGTATCACCACAAAACATATATATCGTGTGCGGAATGTGCTACAAAATCCATTGGCATCTTCAACGCCGACCTTTAAAATGGAGATTGTATTTTTCTACGAATGCGGGAGCCTACCATTCAACATGCCCTTTAGTGTTTGTCTTTGTTTCCTTTGTCAATAACACTCAAAATAAGTATACTCCCTCCATTCCCAAATATAAGTCTTTTTAGAGATTCCAACAAGTGACTACATACGGAGCAAAATGAGTGAATCTACACTCTAAAATATATTTA